AGGGGCTGTCATCCGCATACTTGTCCCTGAATTCACTCTGATCCAAATTACACGTGTAAGATGTGGTACTTTTTTTTTTTTTTTTTTTTTTTTTTCTGGTGGAACCGGGGATTGAACTCAGGCCCTTGCACTTGCCAGGCAAGTGCTTATTCTACTGAGCCATCTCCCCCCCCTGAGTATTTTATTTTATTTGTTTATTTATTTTTATTTATTTATTTATTTATTTATTTATTTTTTTGCGGAACCAGGGATTGAATTCAGGTCCTTGCACTTGCCAGGGAAGCCCATATTCCGCTGAGCCATCTCCCCTGCCCCGAGTATTTTATTTTTAAATGCACTTTGTCTATATCTGTCATATGGTAAGCAATCAGGAACTTGGGATTTGCCACTAATTGATGGGGTGAATCTTTGTGTGCAGACAAGGCCAGAGTGAGTGTGCAGTGTTTATCCTTAACAAAAGTTCTGTAGTTGAACTCAGAAAAGCTAAAGTACTATGTCTTTGGAAACCAGAGAGGTCTGTATCTGTCGTGTTCTGGCTGTGACATATGCACTTAGACTGACTAGAATGCAGATTTTTTTCTTTTACCTTTTTGAAGCAAAGTAGCAGGAATAATACCTGTGGTCCATGGATGGAGCTCATTTGCACAGCACATGCCTAGCATGCTCAAGGTTGTGACTTTGATTCATTTTAACCCTCTTCCCCCAATATACCTGTGTCAGAGTGGTTGCATATGTGAACTTGTATATGTATATACACTAAATATCTGACACAAAACAGGCCAGTACCATAAAATGAAATTCCTCTTACTAGAGGAAAGAAAAGATATTTTTCATATTAGGAACAGCAAAGAGTTCATGCTTAGAGGCCATTGAAAATAATTTGATATTGTGAGATTTATACAGATGACCATGTCTCATAGCTTATCTTTACTGTGTTCTTATTAATTTAATAGTAGATGCTTAAAATGCTTTGGGGGTAGCTAGTTGTAGGGAGTAGATAGTATAGTTATACCAGGATATAAGTTATGTGAATATTTTATTTTTAAATGCACTTTGTCTGTATTTGTCATGTTGTGACCGATGACCATCAAATTAAAATTCATGTGCAAACTTCTATATTAAGAAGTATTTTTTAGAATAATGTGGCTATAAAATTTTCAGTATGTTATATAGAGAGGAAAGGAAAAAATAGAGAATGTTTTTTGAACTCAGATACCAGGATTCTTGACTTTAGCCTGCAAAGTTAGGAGTCACTGTCCTCATTTTATAAAGGATTGAACTTTTAGTGTGACTTCTCCACAGGCAGCTAGACACAAGAACTAGATTTGAGCCCATGTCTCTCTTAAGTCCAGTTGGTTCTAATATGTGATACTTTCTTAGTTACCTTGCTGTTGTTGCTGGGACAAAATACTTGACACCCCAAATGAATGAAGGAAAGATTTATTTAGCTCACAGTCAGTAGAGGTTTCAGTCCATACTTAGCTGGCTCCAAGGCAAGTGGCACATGGCAGAAGGCAGCAGTTCATGGCAGAGAGAAGAGGGAGGAACAAGGACTGCAACAGCTAGCAAGCCTCACTCACTCCTTATATTATATTCAGGCTATCCGCCCCAGGGCAGGTGTAGCACCAACATCCAAGATCCTGATACTGGATCATTAATTAATCACAAACTCTAGATGCCCGACCATGACAGCATGAGGCTTTGGGGACACAACTAGACACAAACCACAAAAGACATTAACCTAAAGCAATCTGCCTACTTTTCTTTTTTCCTTTTAAACTGTTATGTGCTTTCTTTAGAGTGACCCAGTGTTATGGTTTGTCTCTACTTGTCCCCCAAAGCCTCCTGCAGTCACTGGGGCAACTTCTAGAGTTTGTGATTAATTCATGATACAATGCTGGGATTATACATGTGACCACTATGTCCTCCCTGGGGCAGATAATCTACAGTATAATGCAAGAAGAAAGAGGCCAGCAAGCTGCTTCAGCTGCTGCTCCCCCCTTTACTCTGCTGTTTTCTGTCTCCATAAACTGCTGCCCTCTGCCCTGTGACACTGTTTTGGAGCCAGCCTAGAATGAACTGAGACCTCCACTAACTGTGAGCTAAATAAACCTTTCCTTCCTTCATTTTGGGTATCAGGTATTTTGTCCCAGTAATGAGAGAAAAATAACTAAGACACCCAGGATTCTCCAGTTTGGAAATACCAGTTAAAATTCCTGCTACATTTAATTGCTGATAACTAAATCAAGAAATGAAAGACAGGTGCAGTATAAGAGTTCTTATAGGTCATACATTGCTTTTCAAGCTAGTTTGCATATGCAGCCTACTTCATATTTTAAAAGGAAAATCAGCACTAAAGTATGTTAAAAATCAGGATGCAATATTATTTTTATTGAACCCTTTGAGAATTAATATTACAAGCAAGGAATAGCAAGTCTGACAGCAAGGAACAGAGCTGAAGGAACCTTTCCTTGGAAGGTGCTTAAAAATCTCATGCATTCCCAAGTTTGTTTTTTCATTATAAAGAGAAAATATAATTCTTGATTTTTTTTTTGAAGGACTCATCACAAAACAACACATTTCACATATACAGTGCATTAAAACAGAAGTCTAACATAAGATTTTTAAGAGCAAAATTATCTGTAGCTATTAATTTGTTCATTGTACCATAAAAGTTCAGCTATTGAATTATAATCACAATTAAATGAGTGTGTTAGTTTATAACTCTAATGAGCAGTAGTCAAATTAAACCCAATTAGGAAATGGTGATTAATGTCCAAATGTACAAATTGATCTTGATCATTGTCACAAACCCTGAAGCAATTCTTTACTTAGGAGCTAGTAAAAGTCTTTTGTATCTTAGAAATATTGATAATCTTTACATTTATAATCTGATTATTTAAATTATTTCCCTTTGGATCACCAGCAGCAAACTATTTTTCATTAAAACCTCCATATTGAAGCTTTAATAATTATAATTTAGAAGCCTAAGGAGTTCTGTATCAAACCAAATGTTTTTTACTTAAAAGCTTTTCATGGCACCAACTCTTTGTAGGAGAATTTCTTCAGACCCCCTTTTCAATGAAGAACATTTTTTTAAAAAGATCCAGCACATTGATCATATATTTCAGAATACTTGGTTGAATGAAGAGCAATGGCCTTGATAATACCTAAGTTGCCAAGTCATCCTTGGGAAATGTTTGACATGGAGAAAGAACTACAGTCTATGAAGTGATTTTTTTAAAAAAAATATAATTTGACAGTACTCACTATAGTACAGTAACTCAGCTAGGATTACAGGGGCAGCAACCTACTACCCTTGGCTTAGTTTTTGTTATAAAATTCCTGGAGGTGGGGCAGGGCACTAAGTATGGGCTGGCTTTGGCTTTGAGACAGTGGGAGTCTCCAGTCTCCTAGTCTAGTCTGCTACTGAAGGACCTCCCTCACTAGCCTCTTGACCTTTGGCAGTATGGGTGGGTCTCAGTGCTTACTCTTCTCTCCTGCAAGCACCAAGTCCCCTGTGCACTCTTTTATGTGCCACATGTCCACACCTAAACCGTTACTGAGCATGTGGTATAGGAGAGACACTGTCCCTCAAGGGAGTAAAGAGCTCCAAGCCAAAACATGAATACCAGGATGAACTAACTTTGATAGAAAAATAAACCATTAGGTGAATAATCAAGGGGATATTAGCTGTGCTTTCCTTGCCTGTCCAATTATAGTGCCAAAGTAATTTATTAAACTTGCAGCACAATGTTTTATC